TAAATATGATCACATCAGCTTTTATCTCGTTAATCCCCATACTAGAATACACATTCAACCATAACCTTGTTACACAACCCATTCAACCTAGATTTGTTTTATTATAACTCAATCAATCAACCTAAATCTGCTCCTTATAACACTTTAAACCTTATCTTTTATGCTACTGCAAAAACAATATCTGTGTAATACGATAAGCAATTCAACAATATATCTGTTACACCATATGCAATTCAACAATATCTTTGTTATACCACAAGTAATTCAACAATATGTTATCTGACCAATTATGCCGTGACCCATTCAACAATCTGTTAACAACATCTATGTTATACCAGAACCAATTCAACAATATCTCTGTTATAATATGACCCATTCAACAATATCTCTGTTATAATATGACCCATTCAACAATATAATTCTACAATACCTCCATTCATGACCCATTCAACAATATCTCTGTTATATGACCCATTCAACAATATAATTGTTATAATATAACCCATTCAACAATATCTCTGTTATACATATAACCCATTCAACAATATCTCTGTTATAATATGACCCATTCAACAATATAATTGCTATAATATAACCCATTCAACAATATAATTGCTATAATATAACCCATTCAACAATATAATTGCTATAATATAACCCATTCAACAATATCATTGCTATAATATAACCCATTCAACAATATCATTGCTATAATATAACCCATTCAACAATATCACTGTTATGATGTAACCTACCTATTCAACAATATCAATATCACTGTTATAATATAACCCATTCAACAATCAATCACTGTTATAATATAACCCATTCAACAATATCACTGTTATAATATAACCCATTCAACAATATCACTGTTATAATATAACCCATTCAACAATATCACTGTTATAATATAACCCATTCAACAATATCACTGTTATAATATAACCCATTCAACAATATCACTGTTATAACATAACCCATTCAACAATATCACTGTTATAATATAACCCATTCAACAATATCACTGTTATAATATAACCCATTCAACAATATCACTGTTATAATATAACCCATTCAACAATATCACTGTTATAATATAACCCATTCAACAATATCACTGTTATAATATAACCCATTCACTAATATCACTGTTATAATATATCACTGTTATAATATAACCATTCAACAATATCACTGTTATAATATAACCCATTCAACAATATCACTGTTATAATATAACCCATTCAACAATATCACTGTAATATATAATATAACCCATTCAACAATATCACTGTTATAATATAACCCATTCAACAATATCACTGTTATGATATAACCCATTCAACAATAATCATTGCTATAATATAACCCATTCAACAATATCACTGTTATAATATAACCCATTCACTAATATCACTGTTATGATATAACCCATTCAACAATATCACTGTTATAATATAACCCATTCAACAATATCACTGTTATAATATAACCCATTCAACAATATCACTGTTATAATATAACCCATTCAACAATATCACTGTTATAATATAACCCATTCACTAATATCACTGTTATGATATAACCCATTCAACAATAATCATTGCTATAATATAACCCATTCAACAATATCACTGTTATAACATAACCCATTCACTAATATCACTGTTATGATATAACCCATTCAACAATATCACTGTTATAATATAACCCACTCAACAATATCACTGTTATAATATAACCCATTCAACAATATCACTGTTATAATATAACCCATTCAACAATATCACTGTTATAATATAACCCATTCACTAATATCACTGTTATGATATAACCCATTCAACAAATGTTATAATCATTGCTATAATATAACCCATTCAACAATATCACTGTTATAATATAACCCATTCACTAATATCACTGTTATATAATATAACCCATTCAACAATATCACTGTTATAATATATATTCCCATATCAATAATATCACAATATGTTATAATATAACCCATTCAACAATATCACTGTTATAATATAACCCATTCAATAAATATCAACAATATCACTGTTATAATATAACCCATTCACTAATATCACTGTTATGATATAACCCATTCAACAATAATCATTGCTATAATATAACCCATTCAACAATATCTGTGTTGTAATATAACCCATTCACTAATATCAACATTACACAATAACTCATTAAACATTATCACCATTACACAATAACTCATTAAACATTATCTGTGTTATACTATAACCCATCACACAATACATTCAGCCTACATTATCACATTACACAGAGGTGACTTTGCCACAGTTTCTGGCCACTACCATTGCCACGTGGCAGACTCCACACATACACATTCTGATTCACTGGCTCACACTGTATGTGGAGTACCACAGATCCCCTCTCTCTGCCAGCCATGTAGCCAGCCTCCTGTTGTGTCAGACAAGCCAGGCAAATGTCAAACACCCACACCCATTCCAGGGGAGATGGTGATATCACACCTAGTCCATTCAATTATAGCTAACATTCTGACCAGATGTTATTTCCAATTTCTGGTTTATAAACCAACCTAAAGTAAAAATGTAAAAATGAAAAAAATTTAAATGACTTTTGAAAACAAATTTGGAGATGACTGTCTCACAGTTTATTCATGAGTAAAGTAGCTGAGAAAAATAATTGAATAAACTGTGTGACAGTCATCCCCCAAATTTGTTGGAAATAGTAAGTGAGTGAGTTTAGTTTTACGCCGCACTCAGCAATAATCCAGCTATATGGCGGCGGTCTGTAAATAAGAGAGTCTGGACCAGACAATCCAGTGATCAACAGCATGAGCATCGATCTGCACAATTGGAAACCGATGACATGTGTCAACCAAGTCAGCAAGCCTGACCACCCGATCCTGTTAATCACCTCTTACGACAAGCATAGTCAGTCGCCTTTTGTGTCAAGCATGGGTTACTGAAGACCTATTCTACCCCGGATCTTCACGGGTCTTGTTGGAAATAACATCTAGTCATACTGTTAGGGAAAAATTGAAAAAATATATAATATATATATTATTCATGGGAGATCTGAAGATAATTAATTCAAATCTTTAAATAATTGAATTAGAAAAGTAACCCCAAAGATTAGCTTTTTTATTCAAGCATCTTTTTTAAACGTAAAGCAGAACACATATGAATAAAACATATATGGAAATGAAACTGACACCTATAGATATTTCATCTCTTGTTTCATTGATAACCAACTCCTTCACGAAAGTTTTAGTAAAAAGGAAAAGAATATAAAATTCTTGCTTCAATTGACAGAATGTTTTATTTGTAAATTGTGTTCAACATATCAATTTCAGGACTATTTTGAAAGGAAACTAATACATTTATTACATTCTTTTTATTTCAGAAATACTGATGTCAATATCCATTGTATAACAATGCTTAAGGCAGGTGTCACAACTGACTTCACATCGAGGTCGCTGTTTACAAGTTCTCATAAAAATAACCAAAACACCTGTGAAGATCTAGGTTAGAATTGGTCTTCAACAACCTACGCTTGTCGTAAGAGACAACTAACAGGTGGTCAAGTTCGCTGACTTGATTGACACATGTCTTTGTATCACAATTGCACAGATCGATGCTCATGATTTGATTACTTGATTCTCTGGTCCAGACTTGATTATTTACAGAGAGCCATCATGTAGCTGGAATATTGCTGAGTGGAGTTTTAAAACAAACAAACACAGTTGACTTCACATCAAGGTAGATGTAAAGTTTTACAACTTCTTATACAAAAAAATCTTCATTTGCAAGTGATGTAAATGTGTATGCAAGCAGAGCTCCAGATAAGATTTAGCTCATGTGGGTACTGTACCCACTGTATTTTTTTGGAGTGGGTATTATGATTGTTGAGTGGGTATTTCATTTTCCGTTACCCACTGCTTTCAAATATGTGAGTGTTTCAGTCATTTTACTCACCTAAGTATTACGTCATTAAGTAAGTTTACTAAGCAGGTATGTTCTGCCTCATGTCATACCTAATCAAAACCAACTTAAATATAATGGAAATGATTTCATAAAAAATCACTCATCCTATACTGACAGTACAACACTTGTCTTATACTAACTAACTTGATAGCAATCGATGTCTTTTTCATTACGCAAGCGATTTTTATAAATATACTCCGTACGCATTTGTTTTAAACTTTTTGCGTATCTAACATTTTAAATGCGTAAATGGTACGCAACAATTATTTTTTTAATGCGTAATTGGAAATTTTCTATCGCGTATTTTACCCGGATACGCAGCTTATCTGGGCCTCTGTGCAAGTATATGTCCATCATATACGGCGGTATAAGTACCCTGGTTATTTAGGTATCTAAGGAAGACCACCATTATACAGTTTGTCACCAAGTAGTGAATCAACAAACATGAAACTGGCCCAAACAGTACCAGATATATCGGACTGAACAAACTACAGTGGAAACTGCCTAAGTAAAGACCGCTTAACTAAACAGACTGGATAAGTAAACACTTTTCCTTGGTCCCGGTAACTTTCTTCATTAATTATCACTATTAGAGTCTGGTTAACTAAACTCGGATAAGTAAACAATACCGCTTAACTCAACGTCTTCTCACGGTCCCTGGAAGTAAATTACTTAACAAAAGAGACTGGATAACTAAATTAGTGATTACCACATAATCCGACATGAAGGACACGTGTCAGTCTCCAGCTAAACAAACATCCTAGGTACAGCTCGCTGGCGTCAAGCAGTTGACAATACACTGACAACTGGAGGGCAACCCTGATAAGTTGTTCATTGTTACACATGCATACATATACATGCATATGGTTGTCATTTGCAGGTTTTTATAAGTTTGGATAAGTAAAATACCTGATAAGTAAACAAGTTTGTCGAGTCCCTTGAAATTTTACTTATCAGGTTTCCACTGTATATACTAGGCGACAAGTTGACAAAGTTTCCTACCTGTTTAATATTAGCTCCCTGTCGTCCAATCACTGAGCCGACAATCTTGCGTGGGACTTTAACCTCGATAACCGTTTGACGTGATGTGGTAACTTTGGATGCAGAGAGTGGATCATCATCGTCTGAAACAAACAGCACTTATTAGAATCTTACATCACATTCATCTCAAACAAACAACATTATGGTTAGAATGGGCCTTCAGTAACCCATGCTTGTCATAAGAGGCGACTAACGGGATCGGGTGGTCAGGCTCGCTGACTTGGCTGACACATGTCATTGGTTCCCAATTGCGCAGATCGATGCTCATGCTGTTGATCACTTGATTGTCTGGTCCAGACTTGATTATTTACAGACTGCTGCCATATAGCTGGAATATTGTTGAGTGCGGCGTAAAACTAAACTCACTCACTCACTCTTCCATCATATTCATCTCAAACAAACAACATTATCAGAATCTTGTAAAACATTCATCTCAAACAAACATTATCAGAATCTTGTAAAACATTCATCACAAAACATCCTAGGTACAGCTCGCTGGCGTCAAGCAGTTGACAATACACTGACAACTGGAGGGCAACCCTGATAAGTTGTTCATTGTTACACATGCATACATATACATGCATATGGTTGTCATTTGCAGGTTTTTATAAGTTTGGATAAGTAAAATACCTGATAAGTAAACAAGTTTGTCGAGTCCCTTGAAATTTTACTTATCAGGTTTCCACTGTATATACTAGGCGACAAGTTGACAAAGTTTCCTACCTGTTTAATATTAGCTCCCTGTCGTCCAATCACTGAGCCGACAATCTTGCGTGGGACTTTAACCTCGATAACCGTTTGACGTGATGTGGTAACTTTGGATGCAGAGAGTGGATCATCATCGTCTGAAACAAACAGCACTTATTAGAATCTTACATCACATTCATCTCAAACAAACAACATTATGGTTAGAATGGGCCTTCAGTAACCCATGCTTGTCGTAAGAGGCGACTAACGGGATCGGGTGGTCAGGCTCACTGACTTGGTTGTTATATGTCATCGGTTCCCAATTGCGCAGATCGATGATCATGCTGTTGATCACTGGATTGTCTGGTCCAGACTTGATTATTTACAGACTGCTGCCATATAGTTGGAATATTGTTGAGTGCGGTGTAAAACTAAACTCACTCACTCACTCTTCCATCATATTCATGTCAAACAAACAACATTATCATAATCTTGTTAAACATTCATACCTTTTTCTTTCATATTTTCATTTTTACATTTCGGATTATTGTTAAGAAAAGATTTCTGAAATAATATGTATCGTCGTCTATTTTCCGATATCAGTGGCTTTCCGCTCATTAACGTAGTACAACAACAGGAAATACCTCCGATTTAAAAAAATGCAAGGTGATTCGTTTGATGGCAAGTATCGTTCGAAAGCTCTACACCGTATCTGGGGGCTTGTGACGTCTTGGCTGTTTTTCCGGCCTACGGTGTTGAATGGGTTAAACAAACTTATTCTCTGACTAACACTGCAAAATTGTGGAGAGATATGGCCCTTTAGATGGCAACAGAAACGTATGAATGTGCAGCAGTATAAACCATTTTTCACATCGAACGAGGCCATTGTCGAGACAAGTGTTGTGAACAAATAGACAAATTTTAATGTAAAACAATTAGTCCCATGGCTGTCTGTGTCTATCACTGCTGTGGGTTGGCATCCCGGTTTCAAGGTGTTTCAGCACAATTACCATGCTTGGAGGTTCCGCTGAAGCAGAAACCCCAAACCACACTGCAGTTTACTTACACATCAGAACCTATTTGTACACGAACTACTGGGCAAAGAAGCATTAAAGCCACCTGGCTGACCGACCATCTCTGGCTAAGCTCTCTACGTTTGTCAGCAAATTATACATGGTCGTAGGCTTCAACAAGCAGCGTTTCCGCTGTTTACTTAAACAGCCGTTCACCGTGTCCAACGACCGTCTAATTTACCAGTCCTGTACGAAATCTGTCGGTCACAAAATATTATACAGTCATCCCTCGCAATAACGCTCTTCGCGATACCGCGAGATTCGGTTAAACCGCGGGGTAATCCGTGGCTCCCATAAAAAAAGTTGCCCAGTGATCACACATATTCACGTCATCGAAAATAGCACATCAACAAATCCGCTGTTGAGCTCTGGTTAATCACGTTGTAAACTAGTGAAATTCAGTGCGGATTGCAATTAACAGTGTTTATCGTACATATCCATGGTTTTTCAGATGCTTAAAACATGCAGGGTTTTTTTCAACAATAATAAATGAACAGCGAAACATCGTCATAACTTTTATCATGAAGACATGTCGATCATCAGCGAGTGCCTAGCGTTTGCTGTGATGCAACACACCGCGTAATGCGCGAGTAAACACCGCCAAATCCGAGAATGTATGATGTCAGAAAACACATTTTATCTGATTAAATTCAATCCCATTTTCATTCATTAAAACTGTTTACAATAACAACGGAGAAACCATGAGTGAAATGGCATTACCTCATTCCATACAACACCCGCTTACCAAATTCGTGAGGGTCCGTCTTTCGCGCCTACCGCGATAACACCAATTTCACATTTTTCTCAGGAATTACGAACAGATTACAGCCTTGTCATCCATTGACCCCAAGACCCGCGTTATTGACTCATTGAAGTCATATTTGACAATTAATTGCCAACATTTGTTTTACAATCAAAGTGGCACGCATCAGCTGAAGGAAGTCAGCGGTGACTTGTCAAACTGTCTCCTACTTAAAATGTATCCAGCCAGGTAACCCAAAGTGCTTAGCAATGCTTATTATTATGTTAAATATGTTCGTAGAAAACATGCATTATACTTATACGATAGCAATATATAAGATCTCTGTTAGAATAACTGCTTGACATATCAATTATTCTGATAATGGAATAGAAATTCTTGGATGTTATATTTTCGGATCGTTTTTAACTGAATCACCGGTACATTGGACCAAAACATTGATGTGTTCCCAGCTGATTGCTATTTCGGCGTAGTTGAATAACAGGTAGCATGACAGGAACAACAATTGAATTATCATGTCTTGTGATGTTTGATTGCAAGTTTCATGTACATACATCTATTTTCATTTACAAAGTTGTTTTTTTTCTCACCTCCAACAATACGATAGTTTTGACTGGGCACAATACACGAAATAGCAGTTTTGTTATGTCTATGGAAAATGCGATTTTACTTGGCCTTTGTTCCGCGTTATGTAATCGTTACTATAACGTGGGTGTCTAATAACGCGGGGGGTCATCCATGGACCCCAACACCCGCGTTATGGCGAGGGATGCCTGTATTTTGTCCCTGATCTCAAATACAATTTGAGAGCGGCGTCTGCTTTCCACCATTCAACAAATACACGGTATTAAAACAAACAGATAACATCATTACTTTCCATGATTTCCAGTGACAACAGTAATTACAGTGGTGTTTCTTGGTACATACATCGATCATTTCCTAATGACGGTCAAACTGACTGATAACATTGCACGCAGCATAATGAATTAGAAGGAAACCTCATCTCTCACGAAAATCATAAGTGAAAGATTCTACTATTAGCGGATTATTTTAGTAATTTTATTTTAATTTCGGTGTCATTTTAAGTAGGTCAAAAATAGTTTTGGTATTTTACCGGACATGGTGACCGATAGCCTCCAAATTTATCAGTCCTGGGCAATTTTTACCTGCCAAACTGGAGAACGGAAACACTGAGAAAGGCTGTAATCATTTAAGGGACCGTTCATTATTTATGGCTAGGGGTGTGATGATCATTTGGGGGGTGAGGGATGGGGGGATCCCCATCCATTTTGTTCTGGGGAGGTAGGGGGAGTCTTCAATTTTGTACACATGTACTAGGGAGGAGTAGCAGTTTTGTACAAAGAAACCTTGAAAAATTATGCTTAAAAATTATGGGAGATGGGGGTTATTGATTTTGTACATGACATGCTTACTATGTACATAAATTTTAGAGGGGGGCCATTCACATTGTACACGCTTCTCCACAAACATCATCATCACCCCTCCAAGACAATAAATTAGGAACGGTCCCTAAGACTTGAATAACTTTTGGCTTCACTCCAACATCAGCAAATGAATACTGACCAAAGAAGCGTTAAAACAAATTCCCTGACCATCCTTTGTCCAGCTTTCTAGGTGCCTCAGCAAATTATCAATATCATGATTACCGTATATTACCGTAGATAAGCCAAATTTGAGAACTATAAAAAGCAGTCTGTAGAAGGGGGCTTGGCTTATCTAGGGGTTACACTTTTGCCAAACTTTTTTTCAGGGGGTAAGAAAATGATATCATATCCTTCGCATGAACGAACAAGACAAGACAACTTTGTCAGTAAAGATGTCAAATTTGCAATTAAACATCACTAGACAAGATTATATACCTTTTCAGTTGTACTTTGTTCTTGCTAGGGATTGTCTTATATGCAGGGGTTAAGATAACCTTGTGTATTTGTCTCGTGTACAGCGACGGAAAAAGCAATCAGCTGTGTACACGTTACCCCGATCTACAGGTGATTTAGTTAAAGCATACCCAATAAGATAACTAGAAGAATTCTGATGCAGTGATCAGGAAACTTTTGTATCTGAAACTATTATTTTACCAAAAGAAATATATTCCAGCATTATGTCATTTCAATTGCAGGGTATTTCTCTATATATGTAAAATACTTACAATCATAACTAAGGTTATGCGGCAGCACTTTGGTGTATTGCCGGATGGAACAATTTGACTTGTTACCGATGTTGTTTCACAAGATCTCACTGTTTCAACCCATGATGGTAAGTGCCAGTTGTCTTGTGGTCTGAGTTGGCCACGATTAGGACCCCAGGGGGGTGGGTATGTACAAAACATACCATTTTGATATGGATTTTAAGGGTCAAGTTAGGGGGTCGGTTTATCTATGGTATACAAGTCCGGGCTGTGATTCACCCGCGACAAGGGAGTGAATATGAACTGAAGTCCTACAGACTCTCAGGAGTCAAGCTGGCAAAGGCGGTCACCCATCCAAGGACTTTCCGTGACCAATTTTGCTTAACTTCAAGACCACATACCACAAGATATTGTTAAACCTTTAGTAAATGAACTACTGACCAAAGCAGCACTGAACCAAGTGACACCCTGACCACTGTAACACTGTGGTTGTGCACACTTGTCAGACAAACAAGAAGACAAAGTCATCAATATCCCCCGCAATGGCAAAATACTCTTCATGATTATGTCTACGAGTTATGATTATGTCAAATATTTAGGTGCGTATATAGAAAAGTGGAAGGAGAGTATTGATTTTTAAAGTTCTACTCCGGAAAAGAGCACTACAACTAATTTCAGTCTATGTCGAACTTGTTGCCATGCAAACGCCAAAAATATTTTATTCAGAATTCCAAAACTACCAAAAGGCACCAGTACACCACCAGATCTATGTATGTGCCAAGTTTGGTGAAGAAATATTGAACGGTTTTAGAGTTCTGCTCCGGAAAAGACAAATGTGCACGCACGGACGGACGACGACGCGCGACAAATTACCTGCGGACGAGGAGTCCATTTTAATACCCTCCATAAAACACGTTGAGGGGGATAAAAAAATATAGCCAGCTAGGCAGAATATGTCCATGAGAACTGCAAACCGATGAAGATTATGTCCGTGAGAATTGCAACTGCAGATTGTTAGTTGTTAGTTGCCTATAAAAACAGGCAGGACAGGCAGAGGATAGGGCCAGACTAACTGACCGGCAGAGTCCAGTGAGAAGACCGTGTTGACAGGAGCCAGGGCTTGAACTATGACCTAATGAGGTGTCAGGTCCAGCTTGACACTATGCCTCGTGTTGTCTCAAATGCTAAGGAGGTGTTACTCTAGGTCCAGCTTACCGTCTTCCCTGTGATTCAGCAGCCAGTACAGAAGGACAAAGGTGGTGGGGACAGCAAGGAATAAGGCGATCTTTCCAGCAGTGGTCAGCTCCAGCATTGCTAACACTGCAGCATGGGAAGGCAGGGGGCAGCAGGGTTACTTCCTCTCGCGTCTCGAAACATCCTGGAAGTAAATAAAGTGTCAATGTGAAAACATGTATTTGCTTTGATTACATATCAAATGTTGCCAGACACACCCTAACAGGTACTTCCTTAACAAACAAAAACGGATCCTTGTTGGAAACGTTTGAGCTATAGTTGCCTGAAAATAAGAGAGTCTGGACCAATCAATCCAGTGACTGATATCTACGCAATTGGGATACAATAACAACCATCTAACCAAGTCTGTGAGCCTGACCACCCAATCCTGTTAGTCGCCTGACAAACATGGGTTACTGAAACCAATTCTAACCCAGATCTTCAGAGTTCAGGTAAATTAGTAAATATTCATAAAATCAAACTTGACGGTGATTCTTAATACCTAAGGATCAACCTGACAATATGTCTTTCAGAAGTAACAAATATCTGTGCAACAAAATATCAGTTACAAGGCCAAAGAGTACATTTGCATCCAAAATATTTTCAAACTTAAAAAAGAAGTGTGTTTTGAATTATATGCTCCCATAAATATACAAAATGATAATGATAATGATATAATCAGCTGCATTGTTTTTGCATACACATCTAAAGGACTTCAGTGAAGAAATAATCCTGAATGCTTGAACATAATTACTGAGGCAATCAATTAAGAGTTTCAAATTCTTAAAAATTCAGACCATAATTGCATTTTTTCCCAAATGCCCTCACTTTCAAACATTTCACAAATCAGCTTTATGTTCCAACACCAATCAAAAGATAAAAGGCTTTATAATGAGGGTGCTACAGCCTTGTTATACACCAGATGGCGGAGTAATCTTCAAAGGGGAACACTTCAGCTCCCCTCTTGTTGCCTGCCATCGAATTACATGATATCAAAGGAAAAAAACACAAAATTCTGCCAAGGAACATAGATACAGATTCTATTTACTCAAATTCCTGGCTCAATTCACACAAATCTCACAGGATATCCCAAAATACAAGGAGCAGACGTCAAGCACCCAAGATGGCAGACGGTGATATTCTGAAGGCAGCCATGATGGTAGAACCCTTGCCATGGTATGTTTGTAATGAATATTGATTGTCACAAAATACATCACCATACACATTATGTTTGTTTATTACCTACGAGGGCAAAAATATCTGGGTTCGTGTTTTTCATACAATGCCCTAGGGCAAAATATCATTTTGTCATGGTGACATGACATCATGAACAATACTATGATGTCATGTTTTTTCTATGATGTCTACATGCGGCAATGGCAGGTAGCCAGCCTATGTTTGAAAGTACATCTGGGTTTATTTTCCTCAATTTGACAACTTCGGTAATAAATAGAACATTATATGAGTGCCCATATCATAATATGTTTGCGACACTCATGCCTAAATATCAGTATATAGATGCATCCATTCACACACCCACTCTCCCTCCTCACTCAAGCACTGATGCACTAATCCATTCATCCACACATTCACTCACTCATCCACTCAATCAAGCACCAACACACCCCTCCACTCACCCACCCACTCACTCACCCCACCACCCACCCAAACAAACATCTAACACTCACTCACTCCCCCATTCAGCCACCCACCCACCACCGAGGGTTGGAGAACACTGCCCATGTGTATAACATAACAGAGGACTAACTCACTCACACAAACTTTCATTCACTCACCCACCAACCCACCCACCAACACAAACATCCAACACTCACTCATCCCCCCATTCAGCCACCCACCCACCCACCAAGGGGTGGAGAACACTGCCCATGTGTATAACATAACAGAAGAGTAACTCCCAGTGCAAGATAATGTCAATGCTATCAGAAGGAAGAACACAGTGAATGTCATGCCTCCCCAGCTTGGCAGGGGAACAAGAAGATGATCACATCCCTGACTGGTGCTGGATGGCACGCTTCCACTGCGTCTTCCTAGTATAATGAACAGTGGAGGGAGTCTACATCACCAGGTAAAGACTGCGCTCTTGCAAAGTAACACTTATAAAAATATTCACACAGAATTGCAAATCTGAATTAAGTTACCGCATTCATCATAGTAAGCCTCCTGTTCCAAAAGAGCTTTTGATCATTTTCTTGACTAATCTTTAATTAATCCTCATATGGGTGAGTGAGTGAGAGAGTTTAGTTTTACGCGCCGCTTTTAGCAATATTCCAGCAGTATCACGGCGGGGGACACCAGAAATGGGCTTAACACATTGTGCCCATGTGGGGAATCGAACCCGGGTGTTCGGCTTGACGAGCGAATGCTTTAACCACTAGGCTACCCCACCGCCCCTATATGGTGAGTGAGTTTAGTTTTACGCTGCACTCAGCAATATTCCAGCTATGTGGCCTCGGTCTATAAATAATCGAGGCAGGACCAGACAAACCAGTGATCAACAGCATGAGCATCGATCTACACAACTGGGATACGATCACGTGTCAACCAAGTCAGCGAGCCTGACCACCCTATACCTTTAGTCGCCTCTTACGACAAGCATGGGGTACTGAAGATCAATTCTTACCCGGATCTTGGCGGGTAATCCCTATATGGGCCCCATGTAAGATGGAATATGTAGATGGCACTCCATATGTTCATTAGTATTTTACACAAAAGAGAGGCACAAATGGGGTACATAACTGCCAAGTCACCATCATGGAATATATTCCAGTTTTATTGACGTTTGACTTTTCCTTAACAAACAAATTTAGCTCACTGTTCATGATCTCAGTAAGCATTCCACTTATTTAAACTTCCTGGGGCAGTTATCCTGGTAAATATGGCACACTATTTCTTGATCAATTAAAGCATACTGTGACAATTGTACAGTCTTTCAATCAGTTGAGACCGCCTCCGTGGTGTAGTGGTTAGAGCGTCCGCCCGGAGAGCGGAAGGTGGAGGGTTCGATCCCCGACCGCGTCATACCACAAGACGTTAAAATATGGTACTTGTTGGTCCCTGCCTGGCGCTCGGCATTAATGGGTACAACAAGGACTGGTCGGCTCGGAGTCAGTATAATGTGTCTGAGTGGGGTATTCATGCTTCACTGCGGCATGGTATCTCAGTGGGCTAGCACTATAAAACCAGCTTCAGTCTGGGCTAGTACAAGCAGCCGCACATACACATACACATGCATGCACGTCGTCATATGAGCGAAATATTCTCAAGCACGACGTTAAACCCAATTTCACCTCACCTCACACTCAATCAGTTGAAAATATTCAGCCTTTTCTTATGCCACACATATTTTCACCTCCTACCTACCAACAAGAATGTGGAATAAAAGATGTTAAACATAAAAGAAAACTGTTCTTCAGTAATTGTGAGTGAGTGAGTGAGTGAGTGAGTGAGTTGGGTTTTACGCCGCTTTTAGCAATATTCCAGCAATATCATGGTGGGGGACACCAGAAATGGGCTTCACAGTTCACACAATGTACCCATGTGGCGATTCCAACCCGGGCCTTTGGCGTTACGCACGAACGCTCTAACCACTAGGCTGCCCCACCGCCTCTCACTAATTGTGAATTATATCAGATTTTAAAATAATTAGTAACAGTGTTTAAATCAATCAATGATACAGACTGCGTAACTTTGTTCAAAAACAATTATTAATGAACATAACTGAAAAGTATTCAAGCTGACCTGGGCACTTTGGAGCGCAATATTAGTGCATCTTCTTATCACAAGGGGAATATTTTCGACATTGGTGAGAGGAAATAAAATGTGAAACCTATAGTTCATGTCAGAATTAGAATTCAAGGTAAGCAGGAGATGGGAAACTCAGAATAAAGAATAGGACAGCTTTAAATATATCAATTTGAAGATGTAAATTAATATCAGTACATATATTTCTGTCTGTAGGAGGCACTGACGAGAGAAGAAATACATCCAGCACCAGAGAATGAAATGGTCAAATATCAAACGTGTCTGAGCTTCCTAATCCCTCATGTATGTTGTCTTCGTGGGATTCTCCTCGTATTGCTGGCGCACTTTCACCAACACCTCACTTCTGAGGGATTCCAGCAGGGGTGTTGGCCAGCTGTGACCTTTCCCGTTACATCCCTTACTGGGTCACTCGGTGCTAATGTTATACTGACCATTTAAGTTTAATCTATGGTGATAATCATAGGGCTGTCTTTCATTTCAGTATGGGTTCTAATCCAGATTCCCATAAACATGTTTCTATAGGTCTGTCAGCACCAAAGCTTTGCCCTTGGGTCTCATAGGACCTGTATCGCTTCATATCATATTTCTAGGGCTGTAACGATGCATCAAACTATCGATGCATTCCAATTGTTGAGTCTCCGATAACATCGATTAATCGATGGTAGAAACGAAAAACTATCATCAATAGTTTAGTTATTGACTCCCGTTGATAAATGCGCAGCGCAAAATACAGAAAGTACCAGATTCGTTCACTTTGATTTAGAGTTATTTTTGCCCCTGTTACCTCTTAAACAAACTTTATCTGGGTTTCAAGTTTCTTGTCAGTTATTAAAAGAGACTGAAACTACTTCAACTTGTTTATAACTGACGTATTGTTACTGCACGCACTCACTCACTCACTCACTCGTACAGTGAATTCCCCAATAATGAAGCATATGACTTTCTGGACAACATCATTTCACTGTAGATTCTGACACTGTTGTCTTTGAATTCCCCAACTTACCAGTGTCAGTAAATTAGTGGAATATACTGATAAAATTCATCTTAACTTTATCTTACCTGTGAAACTGTCACTGTCTACAGACCAGTTATCCCAAACTGTTGCAACAACCACCATCTTAGTATGCATATAATCGCCACTTATTTTACATTTGCTTGTTTTCATTAAACGAGAGTCATATTTTTATGGAAATGATAAACAAACTTCTCATGTTCAGAAACATTAAAAAGACACAGAGGGCTTGTGACTAACTCATGGGAAAACAAAGCTCAACAAGCATTGTCCCTAAGGTGACATAATCCCCTGCCGCAAATTATCAAATCAAACTTAAAAAGTAATGAAAGTGAAGGTCGTAATTT